CGTTGAAAAAAAAAAAAAAAAAAAAAAAAAAAAGTAAAATAAAGTAAAATAAACAGTAAAAAATAAAAAAAGTAAATCATGATATTTGAAAAAGTTTAGCGACATTAATTAATTTGGATAAAAATTGTTAGAATTTGGTTGTTGTACTCAATTCTCTGTTCAGGATGACCGTTTTCGAGGTAGGAACATCTCTATTTGGTGAATACATGTCGACAACCTATCTTAAAAAATAAAATGGCGCTTTCACAAGGATATGCATAAATACTTCTCAATATATATATATATATATATATATATATATACACATATACATATGTATCGTTGGAATTAAATGTCGCACGCGTAAAAACGTATGATGCGCAGTCAGTCCTTAAATTCGAATAAGAGGAAAAAAAAGAAAAAAGAAGAAAACACATTTGACAGTATAAAAAAATGCAACAGCTAACACATTTAAACAATACTTCATCGATTCGTAACAAAAACTCCGATAACCGATATAGAACACGTTATAGAGATTATAATAAAATGATCGTCTATTATATTGTACGTATATGGTAAACGTACATCGTTTTTCTTCTCTTTTTCAATTTCTTTATCAATATGTATTGAATTGCATGTGTGTATATCTGTAATGCTATAACTTGAAAAAAATCAATAATGCTTTTGTGTCAAATTTAAAATTTACAAATAAATATTTGTTTCTTTTTTTGTGACACAATATTATTTGCTAAGAAAAAGAGAAAAAAATCAGAATATTCATCGTTAAATATAATATAATATCATAATGTTGAGAAATATATTATTAAGATAACAGTTCTTTTTTTTCAATCCCATACTCGAAAAATTTTTTTTCATATTTTCTTAAATCGCTTCTACGAAGCTGCTTTGATTATTCTAAAAACGAATTAGAAAAATATTTCTTTCCAGATCTGTACTATTTTATCATAGTAAAATTTGAAATCAACTAATTTACAAGATATACTATTATTTCTGCAGAGTTCTAATACAAGCGAAAATGCAATCAATGAGAAAATGTATTTATCTTCTAAAATGTTTCGTTCAGATCTTTTTGCATTTTTCTCTGTTTTTTAATACAGAGATTTATGGACTATCAAGCGTTTTAAAAAATGTACAAGTATATATCACGACATGACAGCGACTCATGACGTACCGTTGTTCTTTTGCATAAGGTTGTCGCATGATGATAGTCTTACTATCTTTTATCCATTGATAATCACACAATAATTTTTCACTCAACATACTGGAAATCTGACTATTCAATTTTGTTTGCAATAAAATTCACAGGATATCGTATCCATAATATTGAATTTTAAGTTCTCATATTTTTTGTTTCTGGAAGTTCTTGGAACTTCGTTTAGAATACATAATATACCAGAAACTGCGATTTATAAATTTTAATATATTTTGTCATAATTTACGCATAACTTTGATCTTCTTTGTAACCACAAAAAAATCCGTTTTACTTCTTTAGAAAAACGTTCTTATATATATATATATATAGCTCAATATCGTCACATAGTATATGATTACATATATATATAACCATCTTCGGCTCTACACTTCAACGTGTGAAAATAATTTATATTTACAAGCGTGGTTCAGTATTAGAAATTCACAATAAAGCGTCCTTATTCAGAACTTGTTAATAGATATCGCTCTTCGGATCTCTCTCCCGGAAGAATCCTTTTTCAGTCTTACACTCCCTGATGGTAACGGTCTTCAAATTCACCGTCACGTCTGTAATGAACACTTGATCGGCAACTGGATTCCTTGCATGCCAATAATCCGTACCAGGACTCGAGAGAGGAATATACATGTCTGTTTTTGTAATTTCTGTTTGTTTCACGCTCGATGTATTATTATTATTGTTGTTATTATTGTTGGTATGGTTATTATTATTGTTATGACTATGATGCCCATTAACAACAGTTGATAACCTGTTGTTATTCGTGTATGAATCCGTAGGACTGGGTGACTTATGACCATTCGTATCTACCGCCACAGTTCCGTTCGATTTTTCTTGTTTTTGCTCGGACAAGTGCCTCTTTTTGCTAGGCTGTTCCAGAGGAGTATCTATTTGAGGAGATAAAGGTGCGGGTGGTGCACGTGGCAACGAGGGTGGAGGACCATGAGGCACATCGGCTTCGGCACGCTTTTTCTCTTGTACTGCAGGAGCTGGCGTTGTAGGCATTGCTGGCAACGGTTCTTCTGGTGTCGACTTCACACTCGATGATGATGGCCTTCTACCATTAACCTTGTGACTCTGGAATGAAATTTAGAATGTCTTAATTATATAGTTTTTTTTATTATAATTTTTATTATAAATGTTTCAAAATTTCAAATTTTCAATGTAGAAAAATTTTCAAAAACGTTATTACAACATGCATTTTAATAATTATTTTAAAATCAAAAATAAATTTTAAGCGATTATTATAGAGAATAAATTTACAACAATTTACAACAATTAATAACAATTTAGGAATGTGAATGAATACTTACGTGGTAAGAAGGAGATGTTGGATTACTCTTTAGTGGCAATAATCGAGGAATCTTATTTGGTGGAGGACTTCCACTTGGACTTGTAGTAATAGTAACACCAATTTTTCCCGATTCTTTGCTAAGAACTTCAGCTTTTCTTTTTGTACCACTTGGTTCTCTCCTGGGCAATAAAGGACTATCTACACTGCTATTGGAACTATCTGAATCGACGCTAAAAGCGGATGCCGATAATTCTGGAGCTGTGGGCGATTCATGTCCATCGAGAGAACTCGGAAGCGTGTCTTCATCAGGTGCAACGGGATTTAGACGAGGAGCAGAAGTGCTACCGGTAGTCGATTCGTCTTGACTATCTTCTCCGACTCTCTCATCTCCACCTGGTTCTTCTTCAACAACCATGTTGGCCAAAACATGTTCCTGATATACGAGGAAATCGTTTAATTTTATAACGTTTATATATATTATCATATAATTCTTCAAAAATTGTAGAAAATAATAAAACATTATTTAATTTTAAAAAATTTAAGAATATAATATTATTTAACATAAATTTAATTCTTAATAACATATCTCATTTGATTAAAAATTTAAAAAATTCAATATAAATTAATATAATATTCAATATAAATTTAATTTTTAATAACTTATTTTATTTGATTCAAAATTTAAAAAATGATCACTTATAATTTGAAAATATATAGATATAATAGGTATATATATATTACATGGAAATTTTTATGAAATTAAAGTTGAAAATAATATTATTTTTTAGAGAAATATGAATAATTATTTACACTATATCTAGTATCCCTCCGTCTAGGTCTTCTTGTAGTTACATCTCCACCTTTTTGACTTTCTTCGTATAATTCGATTAATCTGACGTCTAAAATGTTTTCTTCTGGTTCCCATGTGTTGTATCTGTAAAGAGAAAAATCATATATTCTTAATTTATTTGAAGGAGTCACATAATATTTATCAGTTTTATTTTTCACTTACTTTTTGCTCCATCCCTTCCACTTTACGAAATATTCTACTTTACCCTATAAAAAACAAAAATGATTTATAATTACAAAAAAATATTTACGCAAAAAATTAATAAATATGAAAATTAAATTTGATAATTATATATATATATAGCTTTCGTAATATTTTTAAATAATTATTTATAAATAAAAATTTGATGAATTTTTATATTTTTTTTAAATTTGTGAAAATATTATTAAATAAATAATAATATAAATATAAACACGTTTCATTAATTTGTCACATATTTTTTTCAATGTTTAACTATAAAAATGTTTATTTATGGATTATCAATTTAAATGTTATATTTAATATTATATTTAATATAATATATAGTTAATACAATAAGTAAGTACAATAAGAATTAAATTTTTAAAAAAATTTGAACATTTTTATTATATTTTTCATCTGTCATCATATTATGCAAACAAATAATTTCTATAAAATAAAGATTTAAGAATTCGAAAAAGATATATATTTTTTCATTTTTTTTTTTAATAATTATTATTTAATATTAAATATTAAAACATCAATCATAATATCAATGAATCTTTTAAATTATCCCTTTATTTCTCAATAAAAAGTACCCGTTAAAAAAAAAGAAGAAAATTCTTAACATTTGGTAGCAATTTTCGAAATCCAGACGATTTTTGTAATTTTTGAAAAAATACCGTAATACGAATGGAAATTAATTTATAAAATTATAGATAATTTTCATTTGATTTGATATATATAAATATAATGAGGATTTAAAATAAAAAACAAGTTTACAATTTTTATTCCATTTCATCCGACTGACAAAAAAACTCTTGGCGCCAGTCCTCGTTGATTACGATATTGAAATGTGGTTGATCGCAAAGATCCATTTCGCGCGTCTGCGTCAAACAACGGATTTTCGAATCTATCTCGTAAGAGTGTACGGTCGATAAAACGGGCGGTGTTGACTTCTACGAGAGCTGCTCATACGACTCACCTATTGGCCGTCGGCCAACGAACGAAAGCATGCCGACCGATCGAGGTGCGCAGCCAGTGTGACAGTTGAAAAACAATGACATAACTGTGCAGGTATAGGACACGTCGGTTTATCGCGCATGAGCCGTTCGCAGCTGAGAAGACTCGCGTGTTTTATGTCGATTTACAACGTTGCCAATTTCAACCAGTATCGTTATTTTACTCCGAAGATTACCGGTATGGTAAAAACGCATAAATTCTTGTATAAATTGTGACTGTTTTAAAATATATTACTATAAAAATTCATGCAGTAATAAATCAAAATTACTAATCATGTATACGATAAAAATACGATAATTTAAAAATTTTTGACGGAAAAAATAAATGTAATATTTTTATAAATGTATCCTTATAGAAAATATAGAACTTATAATATCTTAAACACATAAATAAATGAATTGAAAATAGATTTTTAAAATTTTGTTTATTTTGTTGATTTTTAATAGAATATAAAAAAATAAATAAATATATTTTATGTTAAATGATTATCAATAAAACGTGTTTGTTCGAGTTCAAAGAGAGATATCGAGAGCATCACATACGATAGAAATCACCACGGGAGGGGCAAAATTGTCGGAATGATAGTGGGAAAGAGAAAGATCATGAAGAGGGGAGGAACCGGCAACGGCGCATAGACAAACAGATTCCATATAGTGGCGCTATCTGCCGGTGACGGTTCGCAGTTCTCTTACTTACCCGCTTTTCCCTCTTCTTCGTAATCCGTTCCGCAGCGTAAACTCTGTCACCTAGATCCATGATGTTTTAATCCTTGCTCTTTAGATGCGTATGAAAGTTGTTAATATATCCAATAAGAAAGTGATGCGTGTCACTGAAATACACCACTGAGTAATGTAACACCATATGTAAACACAAAAAACGCGCGTCCCATCGGAAAGGGAATTTCAAGCGGCACAGTTTGCGCGCCTGAGTTTCTTCTTCGTGTGTTCACGCACAATAATCTTGTGTACGATATTCGTCGAGCACTCGAGATACTCGACTGCGTTTCGTTTTGTTTCGAAGTTGTGTTAGATTTGGTGTCTGTGTTGGCCGGCAACACGTTTTCTGCTTCTGCTGGTGTTGCTGCTCCCTTCGTGCAAGATCGGGGTTCGTGACGTCAGCAATTCCCCCTCACCTCGTAAACACCAAACATGGCCGTCGTACGGATATACGCTGATCGAGTGCGTCCCAAACTGATGGTGAAAATTAACGTCGGTATAGGCACTAGCAACTTGTGGATCCGCGTACGAAGTGCGGAAAACCGTTTTCAAGCCCCGTGAACGCTCTACAGTCTCTTTATATGCAAATATTTAAAAACTGGAGCGATCGACTCACAGCGTCTAGCACATTCTGCGGATCGAGGCCGACTAGAGCCGAGGTCTGCCGAACTCCCCTCGCAAGCTTAGTGGACTCGCCCGACCCGCTCGAGGTTAGAAGGGGAGGGGGTAACGGTAGAGAAAGAGTATCGAAGGGGAAGGGAGAAACTCTCAACGGTACGTGCGCCGCACATGAGAGAGAGAAAGAGAGAAAGCAAAAGGAGGAGAGTGTGATTGAGTGACCGAGGACGAGAGGGGTAGGGAGAAGAGGGAGAAAAGAGCAAGCGCAATGGAGGTAGAAAAGAGAGACGGCACGACCAGGAGCGCCGTCCTCGGAACAAGAAAGCTGCCTGCCTGCTTGCCTGCCTGCCGCCTGCCTGCTAGCCAGCCACCCCAAGTTCCCTTCTAGGTACGTGTATGCGTATATTTGTGTATGAGAGTAGTCGATGCAACGTTGCCAACTCTATTTCGTCGATAGCACCGCACCAAATGTCACTAGCGTATTATACGATAAAGTTAAAAATCTACTATGTCGTCGTTATATTTATCACTTAATATTACAATTTGAATAAGTCAATCGCTGTGTCTTTCTAAAAACACACTTATAGTTTAATTACAATATTTCACAAATCGAGATACCGCTTTTGCTGTATTCGCGCCCACGATTTGACAACACTGTATCCTCTTGCGACGTACTGTCACACTACATAACACTACCGCACGGCTTCGGCTGTCGCATACGATGCTTTTACAGTAAACAGACGTTTAAATCGGATTATCTGACAAAATCGCAAACTCGTTGTAACGATAACACACCGTATCGAATAAAATCGACGTAGAATATAGCGCGTCGCAATAAACGGGCGGCGCTGTATGTGAAAACGTGTGCAACCTCAACGGATCCCGAAATGAGAGTGTCCTCTCCTGTGTCGACGAACACACAGGGAGAGCGGTTGAGCGAAGGAAAAGGAGAGGGATAGAAAAGGAGTGAGAGAGTTAGATGGGGAAGCCTGCTCTTCTCCGTCCTTCAGCGTAAATAGCAGGATAAAAAAGCCACGATAGTGGCGCTCGATTGGTGGGATTCTCGAAGCGCCACCAATGCTTCTAACCCCGCACAGCACGGCGACCAATCGACGAGTGGCACAGCCCACGTCCATTCCCCTCGACTCGTCCAGAAGGCGGGCTCACGGACAATCGTCGGTCGACGGTTCAGTTCGAGGTCCCCATTGCCGTACCGCGCGCGTCCCTGTATTCCCCACGACAACAGCCTTTCCGTTTTGCCGCAACTTTCCCCCTCTGTGTATGTTAAAACAGAGACAGCAAATTCTCTCCCTCTCCAGCACTCTTCCCCTTGTGCAGGAAACCCGAATAGCGGAGCACTACCGTGCCACCGGTCATATCTCGTTCTCTGTCTTTCCTTCTTTCTCTTTAACGCCCACGGGTGTGTAAAGCCGTATATATCGCGTATATGCTGTCGCGTAGGGCGGGCACGTGGGTGAGGGGCACAAGGAGAAATACATATATACATTTACATATATATATATATGTACGAGCGCACATCGTCACAAGCATTTCCCCTCTCCACGTCGGCGGTGGCCGACCACCGTTGGTATTGAAATATCCTGGCCCTGGAGAGCCAAGTAGCCGTGCAGCGATGCCGCTTCTCTTTATAACCACTACGCTCTGCACCAAGAGACCGATCTTCCTTTCCTTTCCTCTTCCCCACCCTTTCTCATCGCATGCACCTTTCCCCTTTCTTCGTCTCTTTGTCTACGTCTTCCATCCTCCCTCCATCCTCTGCACCCTTCTCCCTTCACTCCGTCTGGTTGAAATGTTCGTAATCCGTCTCTGTGCCCTTGTTCAGGCGGCTTGTTGGCGGGATGGATGTTGCGTACCCTCTTTTACGACTTCGTTTTTCCCCTTCTCTCTTTTCCCGTTTGATTTGAGTTTCGCCTCCCTTTGAAGAGCAATCAATTGTTGTAGGAAGTGTTATACGCAACCCTATGACCGATGTACAAAAGCAAAAATACCGACATCGCGCGATCGGCTTTCTCAAGTCGCGCGCTATTGCGCAACCATGGAATACACAAAGCCAATATAGATGGCGTGCCGCGGGTACGCAGCTTATGGCACGTCCCCTCCTTTTTCTTTTTTCCTTTGCATTAGCAATATTCTTCTTTGTTCTTTGTCATCGTTGTTGCTGCTTCACGTTTTTAAAGTAACTTCGTTAATCTTGAATATTGTCTAAAGAACGATATTTAACGATTTACTTTATTTAAAGTAATTTCAAATTTTTTTTAGATTTTAATGTAGTTCAAATGCGAAATTTTTAGATTTGTTACTTCATTTATATAGTGATTTATAATAAATTAAAGATGAAAGATGATTTTAATTTAATTTTAGAATTTAGTACTAATTGCGTAATCGTAAGATATATATGTTGCAATTGCGATCTTGACAAATATATTCTATGGATCACCTAAATTCGCATAAGTTACATATATAATTTGAAATCACTATACGGTCCTTGATTATAAACAAAGGGATATGAACAAAATAGATAATAAAAATGAGAGAATACGTAAAAATACAGTAGTGACCAAGAGATGGCGGCTAGCTAATTAAAGCTGCGCAAGAACGCGATAAGCAAGGGCAAACGCGCACGTAGCCGCAGCGCACGCGACCAAAGATACGGGAGAACGATGAGGCCACTGATTCGTGTTTCTCATTATGCGGGCCGTCCATCGCGGACACGGCAACGTCGAAAGCAGGGCGTGGCGCGTTCTTTGTGGATCTAAATCGAATAATACGTCGTGTCGGTTAAAAAGTCTTTTATCGAATATCGAAATCATTTCTATGACTTATATATCTTTCAAGAATACAATCATATTGCCATATATCTCTATTGTATCATGTTTATGTCTAGATCTTGTGTTCGTGAACTATAGTTTGAGGTTAAAAAAGTCATGTATAGGTTAAGAGATAATATTTATAAGGATGTACATAAAAACAATGATATATATCATATAGAGATAAAGGAACATGCTTAATATAATATGCAATATATATATTGCTTAAAATATCGAATCGAAGATTATCGATTGTAAATATCACAAAATCAATTGGAAGTTTTAAAAATTATAGAAAAATAAGCATGTAACGTTGCATGGAATTGTTGATAATCGTTGCACACGTAAGATTGAACAATATTTTATATATTCATGATAATTATTTTTTATTAGTTCAATATTGTACAGGTTATCTAAAAACAATTATTATTATAAATAAGTGTTAAATGAATATGACAATCGATAGAAATATTTCATATATCGACTTTTTAATCCATCATCTTCATATCGTTGTCATTATCGATTAATAGCATTTGGTAGTAAGAAATCGATTATCGATTGACTTGCTGGTTCGTGACAAGGCAGCCATCTTAATTTTATCAAAGTAGTTTATTGTGCAATTTTTACATTTAGTGATTGTTTAATTTACTTAATTGATAAGTAACTAATAAATATCGAAAATGACATAATGAAATTAGACAATTTACATTTTATAGTGTATTGTGTACGAAACTATGATTCAATGTGTATTCAAACAGTTTCGATGTGTACGAGCATTCGAGAGAGATCCATTAAAACTGAGTTTGGTAGAAAAAGTGAGTATTTAATAATTCGAAATCAATTTATAATATTAAGGTAAAACTTTTCGTATATCTTTCTTTATCATTTGTCATGTTTGTTTATATAAGATTCATCGCTGTTCGACAAAATGTTCATCAAAATAATCGATGTTTTAGGTTAGCTTATTCGAAGATTCGTATGAAGTCGGTTTGAAAATTAGAAATGTATTATTGTATTCGTCATTATTATTATTTTTTTCTAAGATATTATTAATAGAATTTTAAAACATTTTTTAATTTTAACAATCGTGAAACGAAAATCATTGAAAATGTCGCAAATCTTAAAGACTTTATATTTAATTGTTTTTTTCACATTTCCTATAGTTCATATACGATCGCATTATCGCTTTTTTCTAAGACAATGTATACATTTTATAATCTTTACAAATGAAGGGATTATATCAATTGTTTATTAACATTTATAACAATTCGATTATGTTCAAAAAGAAATCGTTATTGATATATCTTGTTTTTAATATTCACGAAAATTAGGTTTCGTAATTTCATTATTTTTTTGTTTATTGTTTTTATTTCATATAGATTCGTATTTTCATATAGATTCATTCAACAATAGAAATTTGATTTATGTTTTATTTGCTATCTCGTTTGATATCTATTATTAGGATGTTCACAATCCGTTTCTAACCTATTCTATGAATTTGTAAATTTTATTTTGTTCGTAAATATTTTCGACTGATATCGTACTCGTTTGTCGTTTCGCTGGATTAACCGAGTGAATTTGTAACGGAAACATGCTAGCTGTAATCTAAACTTTGCGCATACTTAATATCCATCCGTGTTGATGGAATATAGTGTAGAATATCACAGAAGTGTCAGTTATAATAAAATAAATTAATTCGCGTATTAAACAAGTAATTTTTCAGTAATTATCAGAATTCTCAAAAAATTTTTAATGAGTCTTTTTATCTTTAAATATTGTTAATTTGCGATTTGATTGGATAGAATTTTTTATTTTTTGTTTAGATAGCATGTTTAGAAAAAATTATTTACCTTTTAAAATTTTCCTTTATTTTAAATTAGTCGATTAGAAATTATATTATATTATTATATTTGACTTTTATTTCCTTTTATATCATTGTGAATCATTAATGAATCATAAATTTTCTTTTACTAGGTTTTCTTTATATAATTAAGTTACTTTCATAATTGCTAATGCAATAATTATCTATCAGTACTTATTTATCAATTCAATACCTTAAAAATGCTTATAATAGATTTCTGCATGGTTCTTTTTACCACAGTTCTTATCATTCTTAATTCATCACTGTCTAGATTTAATACCATCATCAACTTAACACTATTTTCTTTATTTTCAGACAGTTTTTCGAGTATGGACGACTGGCGCTAGATACCTTCATCGGTGATTTATCAAGCATGTATGCACGTAGAGATCCGGTAGACGTGTAAGTACCTATGTAAAGTCGATTATTAATTCAGCAGTGGAAACCCGCGCTGTATAGGCTTGATGCAATGTACCGCTCTTTATACGGACGGACGCATTACGCCTTGTGCATAAGCATGACGAGCTTATAGACATCTCTCAATTAATTTTATTGTTCAAATCATTTTTTACATGAATTCTAAGGAATCAAAATTAATAAAATGATTATGTAGGTATCTATAATAATAGGGTTTATATAACAATATAATAGGGTATATAATAACAGGGTTTAAATAAAAAATTAAATACTTTAGTAAAAGAACATTATTTAATTATTGAAATTGTAAAATTGTGAAAAAAAAAACATGAGATTAAATAATTTTATCCGGTACAAAATTTAAATATCGTGTGATTTAAGGGATGACTAATATATTGTTGGAAAATGGGAAAAATTTAACTTATAAAAGATAATACATAAATTTAAGTTTTTTAAAATCGAACTAAAAAAGTTAAGATACATTTTATCAGATCAGCTGAGATTCACATCTCTGTTTTTATACATTTTTCATAATTCATACATTCAAATATTCAAACGCATAAACCTGCGTTTTATCAATTTTAATCGCGATTTTGTTAATTTGTTCCACCGAATACTAAAACTAATACAGGATAATCTGAAAAAAAATTAATCGAAAACGATTTTTCATGCATGTATTTCGTTTCATGGCAGAAATTTTATCAAATTATTTACTTTATTGTGCATTTCTCTGTTAATTTTCTCTATCCTTTTGATCGCCATTGCACAACGAAAAAAAACGAAATGAACATATCGAAATCAAATTCCTCCACCACTTGCTTCAATTCTAGTTTGAGTACAATTACTAGATTATTGCGCCGACAATCTTCTGTAATCGTTACATCATTCATCTTTATCTCCCATATTCTATACATATCTATCAGTATACAACAGATTTAATTCGCGAACGTGCGCTTATGCACGTGTATATTGCAAATCGGTACGATGTTACGGGCAAAGCGAGTGTATGTCGCGTTATCGGGCCCGTGTTATCGCCGTGAACTCGTCTCACGGCGCTTAAGTGCGCTCCGTTGGCTCACGCGGAACGCCGCGACTCCCACGTATATTGCTTACACATGCACGTGCGCGCGCGCGCGCCTGCGTTCGCGCGAGTACCAGTGAAAAACTTCTCGACGCTCGAGAGCCTCCACTGATTAGGTAACGGCGAACGAGTATCTTTTTTGCTTGGTCGTTCGCTTCGAAACGAACAATTTTGGTATTTTGGTTATTATTTTATTATTTTCGCCCCGATAAAATTTGGGAAAAGGATCGATGCATCGAAGATTTCCTTTGTTTGCTTCATCTTTTTTACCTAGAAACGAACGATTTTGAGTATTGAGTACGTTCGTTTCGAGTTTTGGGGGAAAATTTGGGGAATTTTTGGGGAAAGGAAATAACGCATCAATAGCGCGCGATACATTTTTACTAATTTTCTCCTAATTTCTGATATAATATAATATAATAAATGGATAAAATTGTATAAGGTTCGTGTTAATGTGATGAATTTTGCGGAAAAGAATTTTTTAAAAGGAAAATTTACTGGAATTTTATTCGAATATGTCTAGTTTTTAATGCGACTTATATTTTTATGTTCATACAATTTTTATATTTTAAAGTATATATTTAAAATGGATAAATATAATATACTTTTCATATTCATATTTAGACTGTTAATTTTAAGTTTAATGAACACTTTCATCTTTTAAGATTACTTAATTTTCATCGTAGGAAGAATATAAGAATATTATTGATACAGCAATTTCATATAGGTAGGTACAAATTAACTTAAATACTTTATTATTACGATTCCCTCAATTGGTCTCAATATTGAGTTCGATTACCGTGTTGTTTTAAATTACGGTGTTGCAAGATTCGCATATGATCTTATGATATAGCACGCATGAAATATTCTGAATCGAAGTGGCTAAAAGGTTAAATGGAAAGCTATTTTTCGCTGATCGTTAAAGTATCGTTTCATCTAGTAACGCGAGGATGTAATAAAGATACGCTGGCCACTCAGAAATTACGTAATACCGGTTATAATGGCGCATAAAGTGCATATACAACTTGTCTGATCGTTATATGGCGTCAATGTTAAAGATAAACCGAAATTCGCAGTTTTTAAGAATTTTAATAAGCAAATCATATTCAATCGCGAATCACTCGTAATTATGTTATTTCCCTTTTCTCTTTTCGATCGTTTATTTTTGATTAAAGATAGTTAGAAAGAAAATTTAAATCCTGATAATCGATGTTTCGTTTCATTCATAAGTGCTTAAAACTTATTATTTTAAGTTTTTAATCGCATTATGTTTTTTTTAAATTACCTATAATATTATTAAATCTTTCATTTTATTATTTACAAGCGTAATGTAAGTTATAATTAAATTAATTAACAATTTCCTTTTTAGAATGTTTCCTTTCGATTAAAGATAACTTTAGTCAACGTTTTGATTCGGCCAAATATTTCTTTTAAACTTTTCATTATATTCCATCTTTCCATCATTATTTTTCAATTAAGTTATCCATTCTTTTAAAAACTTTTAAACATAAAATTCGCGATTCTCCATTAAAAAATATAAAACTGGGAAAAAAATAAGTGAATAATTAAATCTTAAGAATACCCAAGAATCCTTTTCGAAATTCTTTTCCCTTTCATCATTCATCATTTCCATTCGAATGAAAAATCGTTGAAAATTTTTGTTTGTTCCTCGACACGTTTCAGATATCTATGTCGAGTTCTACTGTAATCGTAACACACTATTGTAGTTACTACCTGAAAGCGTTACCGAGCTACTTTTCTGTTTGGCAACCGGTGCTCCGACCAAAATTTAACATCGCGTCGTCAAAAACGGTCGTTGGCTCGAGTGTTGGAGTCGCGCGATAACGCGTGGGAAGACAACGAGGACGTTCCTTTTCATCGCACGAGCGACCGCGCGTGTTGGTCGATGATAAATACAGACAATATACGCGATAGATATCGTATCTCGATCAAAGTGTCGGCACTCGTTCGATTTTCAAGCATGCTTCGTCTCGAACGAGAAAAATCTTTTTCTAAGATAAACTCGCACTTGGATAATTCTATAATCGTTTTTGATCGAGCCAAGGAAAATTAGAAATTGGAATTTTAATTCATTTTTTTTTTCGCTTAACTGCGAAAATTTTTTTTACAAGCAGAAATGTAAATTTACTCGAATTATTTGTTTATCTCCATTTCTAAAACTGAAACTATTATCATCGATGTCCCTACGATTCGAGAGAAAATTTTTACGTGGCGCACGTAAAATATGGAAAATTTGATTGTGCCTATTCACGAAAGCAATATCGGATCTGTGGAATGAAATACTCGAAAATGAGATTAGAATACTTCGAAAAAAAAGAAAAAATAATAATAATTCTCCAAAGTAGACGTTTTATAGTAGATTTCTTTTGACATATACTTTTAAAACATAATGAAAAATAATCGTTGAATGACGAATTTTTGTTACATTTGCATTTGGTACAAAGTTGGTCGGCACGAGAGAAAATTTTCCCGCCTCGTAAAGCGTGAAAAATTCGATTATACCGGTTCATAGAGGTGATATCGGATTCAGTGATCGTGGCCCGATACGTATATTCATCGGACATGCCGCTAATTGGCACGATCATTATTCAATTATAAACTAGATTTTCATGGGCGGCGACGAACGCCAACCGATGCTGGTTTCACTCGTGTTTTCCCTCGATATCATCCATTAATTCTATCCACGTACGATCGACAGATGATATTGGTAATTAGATAGATGGCGAAACGTTGCGAATGTTTAGTCGAATATTATATGACCTATTTTGTATCGAATACGGTTGCTCATTCAATCAAATGATTCCATTCGATTCGATGGAAACCGTGATTTCGCGCGATCTTCGTCAAATTGCACCTGTTAATCTGAGAGATTATTACCCGGCCGTTTTATGCGTGCTATAATTTATTACCAATATAGATTGATAGGAAGTAAATTATTGAATTTAACGTATTATTATGGATAACAATTCGTCGATTAATTTCAATGATTTGTAGTTACTGTTAGATTCGAAGTGGAATTATTTTTATCCTATTTATTGTTCCGATAAATTTGAAATTTTTGCGCATTCATCATCGTTCCATACATTTTTTTCACACAATTCTTAGCATTTTTCTCAGTTATTTTTCGTCTCGTTACATTTATAAAAATTAGGGAAATTTTCGTTACGTTATTTCGAGATCGATGGTTTTGAAAATTTCCTACGAAAGAATGATAAAAACACGTAAAAGATTCGGTCAAAAACGATCACGAAGGACGATATCTACCTGCGTTCTGTTACAAATTTTCTCCTTTCACGGAAATAAGATACCCTCGGTTTATTTTTGGTCCACCCTATAGGAGTCAGAGGCGGCCTGCAACTTGTTGCTCGATTTTGAGCCCGGCCTGCTGGGCCCTACCATTTTGTTAGCTTGCCAGGTTCCGGGGCCTTCCCTTCGACCACTCGTCCCAACACGAATGTGGTAGACCGACCGAAGCTGCTTTCTCTATTCCCTTATCCTCCACCCCCATTTTCTTCCTTCCTTCTCTTTCTTCAAATGCGCTTTTCCTGCCTCGACGAATTAACGATTTCTGGGGAGGGACCGAAACATTCGTTACAATTTTTTCCCTCGCTTAACTTGAAATTTTAAACTTTTATCACGATTTTTCTATAATTTACGCCGTACTATCTGTCAATTTCAATTAAGAAATTATCACATCTTTGTTAGATGAATTCGTTAAAGAGTTGTGGAAATTATAGAAGTTGTTGGGTATTAATAAATTTTCACTGTTTTTTTCTATTTCATGATTCGATAGTTATTCGCGAGAATATCTTTTCCTTAACGAGCTTTCTTAGCTTAATAAATTCTTTGTTAAGGAGATAGATATATTATTTTCCACGAAGGA